CGGAATCTATGAAATCTCATGTAAACCGTTGGAATACTTATTTGTTAAAAATATCAGCAATGTACCACCATCAGTATATTACAACACTGTCAAATCGTTACATACAGAAGACAGATGAGATAGCGAGATAGCTAGTAAAAGTCTGATTGTTGGAGGGTTATCTTACCTGAAAATGCTTTTCACTAACATTTCATAACAGTACTAGACAACATCATCAGTGTGAATTTGAAGAACCACCAACCACAGTGTGACCGGTCTTGCATACAGTTTTGTTTGAAGGTTGTGATTTTTTGATTACGTTCCTTCGGCCCCATTAGCTTTTTGATTGTGGTTTATTGCCATGGTTATTCTTTCTTTTTCAGTGGTTTTTTTGCTGTTTTGAGCAAACAATAGCTCCGTCCAACTGGAAGAGTAATATCGTTTGATCAACAAAGAGTTCATTGGAATTATATTCAACTTGGAGGAAGTAGAGAATAGAAAACAAGGTTTTTGGAGATATTGGTAAAATGGCAAAATGGTAAAAAATGTTTAGACCACCAAATTTTGACCCGGAAGTCCCGAGTTCGAACCGTTCCACCGCCCCCGTCTTCCATATTTCTGTATTTTCTCAGGCAGCCTTTGTATGGCCGCAGCCCCTCTCCTGAAAGTTGACCATACACTTGTATATTCAATAAATAAAAGAGGAAGTAAAAAGACGAAGACAAAGATGGACAGCTGAAAACCGGCATCTACCGAAAACTAGCACACACGGATTAGATTTTGAACTTTCAAAGCAACCACCATCATCCAGTGGATGAGTTACTCAATGTTGTACCCCCAAACTTCACAAGCTGGAGGCGCTCACCTCTCTGAAACATTTCGACGTAATACATAATGACGGAATTTCTTCCCACTCTAATCATGAACGACGAGCAAGGAGATGAGGGCAATCGGTTCATGAAGAAAGCCACAGACATGGAACCAGAAAAGTGCTTGACGATAAATGGAACAATACCAAATTTTCAGTCAGGGAAAGGACACTAGGAATTTCGGTCGTGCATAAGACAATGGAGACGGTATAAGTTAGTTTGTTAAGGCGAAAATGTCAAGCGTCAAAAGCAGATTATTTAAGCATGTTAAGCGGACCGTCTGATCTAGAGTATGCAGACGACATTGTGCTACTAATTGAAAATTCAGGTAAGTTGCAAGCTTTTATGGATAGTTTGAGTGCTAGTGTAGCCATGTTCGGTATGCGTTTTACACCTTCAAAATGTAAAATGTTACTACAAAATTGGGTTGGACCAGCTCCCAACCTCACCCTGACTGGGGAAGTAGCAGAAGAAATAGACAAATTTTGCTATCCAGGCAGCTATATCTCACCTGGCGGACGCATCACAGATGAAGTGTCAGCACCCATACAAAAGGTTCGGTTGGCATTTGCGAACCTGAGACATCTGTGGCGCCGTCGCGACATCCGGCTGCCTGTGAATGGTCGAGTGTATGCTGCAGCAGTTCGGTCAGTGCTACTATACGATGCAGAGACTTGGCCATTACGAGAACAGAACAGAAATAGATTGTCGGTGTTTGAACACCGCTGTCTACGACGCATTGCAAGAGTCTGGTGGGGTAACTGTTAGAGAAATGTTGAGGTGAGGCGTAGAGTTTTAGGTAGTCGCAGTCGTCTACTAGTGCAAGTAGTCGACCTCCATAGATTAACCTGGTTGGGATATGTGCTACGCATGTCACCAAATAGGTTGTCACGGCCTGTGATGTTCGCCGAGGCAAGAAGCGGTTGGAAAAAAATCAAGTGTGGTCCAACTAAGACATGGCATGGGGTTATCAAAATCTTGACCAGGAGACTGGGTCACATAGGTCCTGTTAGGCTCCCCGTTTGGGGACCTCGACATCATGTTCACCGATGATTAGCGACAGAGTTATATGGCTGGGTGTAGCAAACAGTGGCGCTCATGCATCTACTCATTATTCTTTTAACTTCAGTCTATATAAATGTGCTATCTTCCACTTGAACCTACTGTCAACATTCTGCTCTTCATTCTGCTGCTTTGTCCAAGTGGGCGGCAAAAAGACCTCAACCAAAACCAGCGTAAGAACTGAACTGAACTGAAATTAAACAAATTAAACTTTCTAAACTAGTAGATAAACCGGCCGGAAACGGTCGACACCACTAGTGATAGGAAGATAAGATAATGGTCTCCAAACAGCAGTTCACATGAACATTGTGAATCGCATCTTTGAACTGGAAATGCGGAAGCAATTGGAAGAAGAGCTTCAGAGTCCACGAATTCCTAGAATTATGGCACCTCAAATGTGTTTGCACATTTAGGAATATGGAAGTAAAAACCACTTATTGCAATCTGGGAAGACAATGGCATTCTAGAATTAGTCCATCTAAAACCTGGTTCATATGGGTTTCGAATTGTTCCAAGACAGCAAGCCGACCGATGAACAAGGAGGAGTGACCTTGGCAATAAACCAGTCAATCATATTAAGGCCAAAATAAGCATTTGGCCAATAAGACTGAAGGCGAGTAAGCAGAAAATTAGAACCTTCAACCAAAACCGTATGAGCCTGGTTACACTGGCTGGTGCCTCGTCGAAATTGCACTTATCTTGTTGCGTTGAAACGTCTGCAAACAACATTTCCAGTTTGGTTAGCCCTCCCATAACAACATCCTCTTCCCGAGTTATCAACATTTAACACTATATACAGTGAATGAAAGGAAAACTGGCCAAACTGGAACATTACTGCTGCCTTGCGGTCCGTGCTTGGTTGCGCAAAGGCTCGAGTGCATCCTCGAACAAGGCCTACTCTGTACCGGGCGACCGAGTAGTACAATAGCACGCAACACATACAACCATGAACTGTCTTGCTCTTATGACTATATACTTTGAAGCTTCCTCATCGAGCGAAAAACATCCTACACCGTACACACCCTCTTGTTCCCCCTGCCTCTCCATTTCACTTCTACCTACCCCCCCCCCCGA